GTGGTGATGACTAGCTGCCTTCCCTCTAGTCTTACACTGCTAAATTAGGGACGGCTAGCGCAGATAGCCCTCGTGTAGCTTTGCGCGAAATTCAAACAAACAAACAATTGTTTTGTGATTTAATATTAAATGATTATTTACTTTTCATAACAAATAAGTTAAAAGTAATTATTTTAAAGGTTATAGTTATGACAAGTTTGGTTGCGTAACTCGGTAAGTGTCATGTGTGGTTCAATTGTTGTAACATTGTTGACGAATTTACTCGAATCTTCGGTATATTTCTCGTTACCTTAAAGTGAGTATTGTTACATTATAGCGTCGCTTGCGCAGTTTATAGAAAGTTCGATGCCTCAGTGAATAAGATATATATATATATATATACATAGGTGACTCGCGAGTGCAAGTTAAGTGAAGCGAAGATAAAAAGTGAAGTGAAAGTAAAAGTCCAGTCAGAAAACGCGAAGTTAACTTGCGTGTGCGTGATTAGCCATAATGAGCGTTATTTTAAAGTAAGTTTAACAGAGATAAGGAGAATAATTTGTCTTGTCAAAGAGTGTTCTAAAGTAATTGAACCAGGCTGTGTGGACTTGGACGAAAAGAGACAATTTATCGGAGATTGTACAGTAAGAAATAGAGCAGAGAAAATAATCTGTCTTGTCAATTGGATTCTAAGGTAGTTGAATCAGCCTATGTGGACATTTTACAATAATTAAAATTATTTAGAGTTTTAGACACAGCTTTGATATCCTATAGTGTAAAGAATTTTTGTACGTACGTTTGACTTGTTTTGAATATATCATTTTAAAACAAGTGGATTGTGTGCTGTCCGTTTATTGTTCAAATTTATTGCCAACAAGTCACAGACACCTACTGTAGAAGAATCCCAGCCCAACTTTACATACTTAAAACTCTGACATAGCCCGTTGTGTGGCTTTGTGCTTGACTTCAAACAAACAATCAATATAATATTAATGTTTATAAGAAACAGAAATTTACAAGTAAAAAACGAAACAAGTAGTTATATTACTGATGTATTGAAATTTTTTTACGTTCTTTACATTGACTAATAACATGCATAAGTTTTACTGGATACATAAAGTAACAAGCCTGGTATGATTTGGTGGTTAGGGCACTCGACTTGCAATCTGAGGGTCACGGGTTCGAGTCCCGTCCTTGAACATGCTTGCTCTTTTAGTTGTAGAGGCGTAATAATGTGACGGCCAATCCCACTATTCGTTGGTAAAGAGTAGCCCATGAGTTGGCGGCTGGTGTTGTTGTCTAGCTGCCTTCCTGCTATTCTATTATTCCAAATTATGAACGGCTACTGTAGATAGCCCTCGAGTAGCTTTGTGCAGATTAAAAAAAACAAAACAACAAAACATAAATATTTTCCAGAACGTGATCTTCTAAAATGGCATTTCGTGTGTCGTTCATGACATTGATACGTTTTGTTCCGGACAAGCTCTTACACATTTTTAGATTTAGAACTTAATACAAATATGGGTGATTTAGCAGTAGACAAAAGAATTAGATTTCAAACATTTATCTCCTGTTACTGCGACCAATCGAGAGGTCTTATTAATTAAACTTGGGGGGTGCAGTAAGTCGGGAGGAGAAGAATCTTTCTTTTCATCTATATTTAATCGTCGACGGAAGAATGCCAGAGCTAGGCCTCAGCTTTTCATTATATATACACTTGAAAGTGCACACGCTCCTAATATCAAAGCTATTATAACAGTCTGGGGGTGTTATAAGGTGCCTCTAAGTGGGATGTAATGTGAAAAATGTATTTTCCTTCATACATCATAGCTTTGTTTAAATTTATTACTCATTTTCCACTTCTGATGCATGTAGGCGGCAAGTTTTTTTTTATGATCAGGTCATAAGGGTGTGGTTTTATTTGACCTTTTCGAGAATTTAGCTCGTTTATTGTTAATATACTCGACCATGATCGTTAAAGAAGTACCTTAATAGTTGCAACTATTATATCCTTAATATGTACTTTTATCAAACAGATAATCAGGTTTGAACTATTGGAACGTACTGGCAACCAGCTTTAGATCTAGTAGAACGTACTGGCAACCAGCTTTAGATCTAGTAGAACGTACTGGCAACCAGCTTTAGATCTAGTAGAACGTACTGGCAACCAGCTTTAGATCTAGTAGAACGTACTGGCAACCAGCTTTAGATATAGTAGAACGTACTGGCAACCAGCTTTAGATCTAGTAGAACGTACTGGCAACCAGCTTTAGATCTAGTAGAACGTACTGGCAACCAGCTTTAGATATAGTAGAACGTACTGGCAACCAGCTTTAGATCTAGTAGAACGTACTGGCAACCAGCTTTAGATATAGTGGAACGTACTGGCAACCAGCTTTAGATCTAGTAGAACGTACTGGCAACCAGCTTTAAGTGTGAGTTTTAATCATACAACCACCTTTACTTGGGTGCAGGCTTTAAACACACACCCACTTTTACCTAGGTGTACATTTTAATTATCCACTCAATTTTACCAAGGTGTAGATTTTAACCGTATACCCACCGTTACCTAGATGTATATTTTAATCAAACACCCAACTTCACCTAGGTGTAGATCATACACCCACAGTTAAATAGGTGTAGGTTCTAACCATCTTATATTCGTATATTGTGGAATGGAATAGTCGATAAATAGGTTTTAATTAGTAAACTAATTTATATATTAACCATCAGTAAACAGTTTACTTGGTGAAGTGAACACGCGGCAAATACATAATTAAACTACGTCCAGTTTTGTTGTATATCTAAATCATAGATTCACTCGTCTAATCCAACTGCTCCGTTTTTAAACTTACCACGTGTTACAATTCTTCTTAATCTTCTGTCCCACGGTGTAGCTTTCACTTCCTTCATAACAGTCTGAAACAAAACCAAAATCATGCGAGTGTTATCAAGTAGTTTTACAACATTACTTCCAACCAAAACAACGTATATTCATCTTTTAAATTGATTACAAAAATGTTGTTTGTTTTGTTAAGCATAAAAGCTAACGAATGGGCTATCTGGGATATGCCCACCCCGGGTATCGAAACCCGATTTTTAGCCTCATAAACTCTCAGACTTACCGTTGAATCATGGCTTATTGGTTAAGGTGCTCGACTCGTAATCTGCGGGTTGAAATCCCCATCACCGCCCCCCCTCCAGTGGCACAGCGGTATCTCTGCGGACTTACAACGCTAGAATCCGGGTTTCGATACCCGTGGTGGGCAAAGCACAGATAGCCTATTGTGTAGCTTTGTGCTTAATTACAAACAAATAACTACTAGAATACTATATATATTTCATTACACTCATTTTAAAACCATCACAGCTTTTGTATGTGATCCTGTGTGCTAACTTCTTAACAAGAATTAACAGAATACTAAATAATGTGGAGAAAAGAAACATTAACGGAATTTTAAATAACGTAGGGGAAAAAAAGGCAAAGGATTACTAAACACTGTATTAAAAATAAAAACAACAACAAGATATATAATGTAAAAAATATCGAAATCTTCGAAAGAACATCGCAGCCTAGCAACCACAAAACACCACCCGTTACTAGACAACGAAAAAACTAGTCGTTACCATAGAGATCATTAAACAATTTCTTCGTGATAAATCGACAACGAGGTATCTTATCCTTCATGACTTATTTCCTACTAAGTGCATAATTCTTTTTCTGCCTTGCTGTGCGTGGTATGCTCTTCGCCCACGTACCAATTGTATGGTTATCTTTTCGTTGAATCGCCATATATTACATTAAGCCTATTTGTACCCACCCCCGCCATAGATGGACATAACACGTTTATTGTGAACTTATTAAGTTAAATGTAACTGAGGCGAAAGTTAGTGGCGCCCTCGTACGAAAAAACTAGTTGAGCATAATTTTTCGAATTGTAGTATTTGTTGTTGTTGGTTTTTAAAATAAAAAAACAATTATAGTGTTATATATATATATTGACAAAACGACCTCAAAATAAAATTCTGTAACTTTACATTTTTTTCTGCAACGGGATAAACTATAACTCAAGCAGGACGACACCTTGAAAAATAACACGTAACTCACGCTAAAACTCAAGCAGGATGACACCCTGAATAAAGAAACATGTAACTAACTCTATAACTCAAGCAGGACGACACACTGGATAAAGAAACATGTAACTAACTCTATAACTCAAGCAGGACGACACACTGGATAAAGAAACATGTAACTAACTCTATAACTCAAGCAGGACGACACACTGGATAAAGAAACATGTAACTAACTCTATAACTCAAGCAGGACGACACACTGGATAAAGAAACATGTAACTAA